CTGGGAGAAAAGACACATGTACTACTGAAACCAAAGACTGAAAAAGCAGTTTAACAAATTAAAACAAATAAAACGAATACTCATGGTGTTAATAATGTTTTACTAATCTAGCAAACATTTTTATGTGGCCCACACGAGTTTGGACAAGTTCCAGTGTGGCCCATTCAGTGAAATCCACTGAATTTGGTTATTTCTAAAACGTCAAGGTCTCTGAATTGTCAGCACCTCTCAGCTTGTCACCTCCCCTCATAGTGCTCAGAGTCAGACTGGATCACCATTGGGATGTAGCCCCGGTAGCTGGGGATCTGGGGTCCCACACACACTGTGTCGTCACAAGCCCCTCACTGGAAGAGCGCAGGACCCCCTGCACAGCTGCATGAAACCAGGAGCCCTGCAGTGACAGCTCCTCCTGCAGGGGAATGTTAACACGCATGTATCTTATCTGCTGTGGAACAAGCGTAGGACAACCACGAATGCTATTTTCATCTGAATGTTTTCCATTGGGGTCCTGTAATGCTTTGCTCACACTCGTTACTGGTGTAACGTGTGGATCTCCTCCTAGCAGCACTTGTTTCCGTTCTCTGAAAATCAAGTCTTATAGTGATTCACCCACCTGCCATTTAAAGAGGTGCCATCTTTCACCCTCTCGTTTATAACATGCTCCCTCCTTTTTAATATGCAAACAGGATCTTTACACAGCCCGTCTCTTACAAATTACACATAAGAAATTTCTTCAAATAATGAAAGATTTGCCTTTGACAACTGCATGAATCCTATATCAGCATCAGCCGGAACATTTATGCTGGAAAATAAATAAAAAATATATTTCACTCCGATAACAGGTTTTTTTTTTTTTTTTTTTGAAAAAACAGATTAGTTCTGGAGACTTACTTCAAAAGGTGATGACAGATTACAGCAATTTATATATGCTATGCAAGGCTAGACATTCGAGACAGACTAAAGAATGGGGACGTGACATTTGAACAGGAGGAGGATTAAATATTTAGAAGATGATTTAAAAAGTGCGACTTTTTGAAGTTAGGATAGTCATTCTCAAGGAATGGCTGACTTTGTTCAAAAGGAAATGTTCAGAAGTTAAACAGACAATTCTTCTATCCATCCATCTGTCCATCCATCCATCCATCCATCTATTCATCTTCTACCCACTTATCCTTCACATGAATACAATCATATATTAAGGGCGGTTTAATGATACCAAGTCACTGACCAGCTGTGGGTGGAAGCCAACATGAGACAGTCAGAAACTCCATACACCAAGAGCAGAGAGAGGATTCCAACCCCCAAGAACATGGGTCGGGGGTCGAGCAATTAGATATTCCAGGTTTTGCCCACAGCACACGGACCTCAGGATGCAGCGACAGCCCTGTTCACTCATCTCGACGATGTCCCACTGGAAGTAGCACACGTACAGGGCCCAGGCACGGCTGAGGTCAGGACCCACAACCATGAAACTCACAGTTCATTTACACTGGGATGGCCTAATTAAAGTCGATTTTACGTTAGACTAAAGTGGTGTTACATTTAATATTTCTACCACAAAATTTATTTTTAACTCCATACCTTTAATGAAATGCAAAAAGCTAAATACAAATCCAATTGTTTGACTTTTAATTATAATTTTATTATAATTACTTTACTTTTAATTGTACATTCAGAGTTGGAAAACAAAATGAAAGGCCCCACATTGCTGACCCGAAGCCACTCACAGCGTAATTCTACAGTGCCTTACACTGGACAAGGGGAGGAGTCACATCCCTCAGCAGCCAATCATACGGCTGCATTTGCTGTGGGGATACACGCTGGAGAATATTGGAAAGACCCTTAGCATCTGAGTGGAAGGATGGACTGAGATGAGCACACAACTGAATTCTCTTTCACCTGGAAGCCATCAAGTGACTTTGTGCACTTCACCAATGGGTGTAATAGAAAGTGAGGATTTGTGTATGTTTTACAGGTAGCCTACTTTATTACTGCAGATATATTACATTTAAGTTCAATGTATTTCTGCCAGTCTGCCACAGGTCTCACCTGCAGTGTGTTTGACGGCAGTGGGGAATGTTGGGAAAGACACTGTCTCTTTGAACCTCTCTTCATGACTTGGTTTGGATACTTCCAGTCTCGGAAAAGTATCAGTGGGCAAAATGCTTTGTCTGTGGCATTTACTGTCGAAATATTAGTAACCCATTCATTTAAAAATTCAATTTTGTAATTTTTATTATGTTGCTGTAGCGTAAACTATAGTCCTTTTAACTTTTTAATAACTTCTGCTGTCGGTCACAGCTACCCTTTAAAAAACCTGTAAGACACCTTATTCTTAAGAAGCCTATTAATATTATTAAACTACCTCCCCCCCCCCCTTAAATAGACTCCCTAGGTGGCCCTAACCACCATTATCAGAGTCTTACAGTCCTCCCTTACCGCAAAGATACATTACATTCGCGCGTGCTGCCACGACTCCTGCAGAAAAGCGGGATATGAGCTTGTGGGGAACGTGCGCGTGTACGAGGTTGCGTCCGCGAGACCTGCAGCCAGTGTGCACGCACATAGCTCCTCTGCACAGCGCTGCAGCCACGTGTCCTCCAGGTATCTGCCTTCGTCATGTACCTGGCGGCTCGCGCGGCTTGGCGGGGCTACATGCTGCATCTGCGCTGCGATGTCACCCACGGCTGTCTTCTTATGGGAGATTTAGAAAAACATGTTCAAGAGTAGTACCAATGTTTTGAATAGTCTTCATTCGCTAGTAGATTTTAGGCACAATTGACAACCCGCTTTCGCTAATTATTTGATTTATTTTGTTTAACGTTTAATATTACCTTACCTACCTGTTTTTAAAACAGTATATCAGTGATATTTCTCAACGCTTTTTTAGATTGTTAATCACATCATCTAGTACATTAAGAATACTTTTTTTCAGAACTTACCGATCAAAACTGCCTTAACAAACAATATAGGCCTACATTTTAACGTTGCACTAAACTCGGACTGCTGCCTTTATATTAACGATACATTTATAGATAAAGAACTATAATACTTACATTATAACAGCTATATACGTGTGTAATAATACTGTACCTTCACCATCTTAATGGATGTTCACTTGTACCGTGACAATTTCTTAGGACGCTTTGCCGCAATAACTGAACAAGGCACGTTCCTTAGCGACCCCCTGTAACGATGACACGGTGAACAAAACAATACATCGTAAACAAAAACATACATGCAGGAATACATTTTGGTTGGATGTCTGAGCAGAAATTTTCTAATTTAGCTGTAACACGTGACACAAACAGAAAACATAATCTGGTTTTGACCAATAATACAAAGTCGAGCCGTATCACTGAAAGATTTTGCCATTCACAGAATTAAAGAGTGGAATCCCAGCTAACAGGAAACATTCCCAGAACTTTAACCAATATTCATCCATTTTTCTTCTCAAAGTTGGCAGAAAATGTAATTCTTGCTGTAACATTAATGTTATTTCCAGGTTTTACATTTTAACAGAGGTTCTGTCAATTTCAGCACAAGAACCTTAGAATTTAGAGATTAGTGGTCATTGTTGACACACAACAACAAAATATGTTCTCTGCATTTAACCCATACAGTAGCCTATGTGACATAGCAGGGGGCAGCTAATTCAGCACCCGGGGAGCAGTGCTTGGGGGCGGTACCTTGCTCAGGGAACCTCAGTGGTGTTTTGCTGGTCGAGGATTTGAACCTACAATCTTTCAATTAAAGTGCACTTCCATAACCATTAAGCCACCACTGCACACCTTATTGTTATTTCCTGAACATCTTTTTAACACAGCTTATGCTGAAAAGTATTTTTATTATAAAATATTATTTTAAAGATTGCTATATGCCTAAGTATATACAGTGAATGTGCCGTCCAGCCCTGGATCCGTGACCTTTGCTGTGTAATATGACAGTGTTACCTGCTGCCTCACCACGCCTTTCATTCATTTTTATATTATTAGTCTTAGTTGTAGTAGTGGGATAAAATTCTGGGAACATCAGGAAAACTGGACACTTTGAATATTTCCATACCTTAATCGTAATGTTCGCGAAATGTTCCCAGAATGACAAATTGTTAGCGGATATGAATCCTCTGATAACTACAGTCCCGGTATTTTCACCTTTATGAGACTTTCTAAGACTGTAAATTAGCCAGTTATGGCATTTGGCTCTAGTATTTATCCATTGGTATGTTTTCCATAACAGGATCATGCTTACAGCTTCAGGAACCATGGACATGAGGCATGCGTTTATGGGGAGCGGGGGGCTGTGGTAGCTGTTCTGAACTACATGGTATCAAAATATTTACCATATACAGTTTTTACCATGCAACTGTAAGTCTATATTAATCAGTGTACCGTAGAAAATGAAAAAAACAGCTTAATTCGATTTACTTAGATATTAATTGAATTAGATGTGCTTTCTTAGCAGGCCGGTTTCTGAGCGGTCGTGCAGTGGAAGTGGACGCCTTTATCTGCCGTGGGGAACCATCAGAGAATGTCAGGATCCAGGTCCCCGTTATCAGACCCCAGGCAGGCCTGCCGTCATTGCTCTCCAAGCGCTGATAACCACCGGCCTGCCATAATCAGCCAGGCTGGGCTCCTAGCAGAAACGCATCTCCCTGCACAGCCGCGCGCGACGCCGAGAGCAAAGGCGTCCCGACAGCGGGGACCCGAGTGAAGCGGCGTGCAGGAGACCTGGACGCTGGCGTGGAATCGGCCCAAGCTGAAGCTGATCGAATGGTCTTTACACCCGAGCTCACTGAGAATGAGCACGTTTCACATTTCTCCCCTCTTTGTGTTTGCACAGTACATCACTGGAAAAAACACTTTTGTATTATTTAGGTAAATTCAAGAAGGTTCCAATAGTATTGATTCATTTCAAGGGTAATTATATGTTTTAATATCCTCCGGCACATGAATCCGTGATATACACATTTAAGGAAGCAGACACACACATACGTGCACACGCACACACACACACACACACACACGCGCACACACTTGCTGTATTAGATAATGCCCAATCAGGCTTTCCAGCTAGTGTCAATGCTGTTTACTTGCTACATCAAGTCCCTGCCAAATAAACCATGTTTCCCAAAGCCACCTCCACTGAGCTGACATTCCGTTGATCATACATACGCTCAACCAAACAACAGATTTGGCTAAAACCACCAATCGATATTTTATTGGCACTCAAATGGAAATCGCACACTAGCAAACCATGCAGACTCTTAAAGCTGGTTGGACAATCAATCCCGGGACACTTCAAAGCTGCCCCTGCTATACATGACTTTATACTTTACATTATTGTTAATGTCACGTCTCTAAAAATATTGATGTCAAACGACGTGGCGTGCTTGAAGTGAATGAGCAAACTGGCATAGGGCCCATGTTCTGAAGAGGTGTGCAGGTCAGATTGTCGGCCAGATCAGATAGGGCAGGAAGTGGAGCAGGACTCTGCAACCACGGAGAAGATAGAGGAATCGTTGGCTGACTGCTCCTGCTCGGACAGCAGACGGGTGGCAGCAGATGAGCACGCACTGTGCAGGATCAGAAGCTCCTCCCCCCCAGCACGGTCGGGACATTCGGAAGAACCCGTCTTAAAGTTCACAATTAAGAGAAAGGGAGGGAATGGGGGAGACACATAGAAATTAATTCTAATTCCTGTTCATATTTATTTAATTATCAGCTGCTATCATCCCTGGGATTATTTATTTAACCATTGAGGTTTTTAGGGAGACATCTATATTGCAGATTATTAAGGTATTTGATTGGTTTACACTAATAGACGCCATATAGCCTAATAGACGCCGTATAGATTAATAGACGCCGTTTACACTAATAGACGTCGTTGGCAAAACAGCAGGCAGATGGCTGTAAGTCAGGCATCCCTTCCTTCCTTCAGTTCATTCTCAAACTTTTTCAGCTCGTCTGAAGACATGAAGGTGAGTGTGCCTGTTCATCGCATTCTCCTCTTTGTGACAAACCACTTTTGGGTTAAGCAGACAACAAACAGATGTCAGAGTTAATCTCACGGCATCTTTTAAGCTGTTTGCCGTCATGTAGATGGGGATTTGTACATCCTATACTGCATGTACATTTACTCCACGCTTTCAGAAAAAGGGTAAAAATTTGTACCTTTGCTTGTCACTGGGGCTGTACCCTCAAGGGTCTGCCAATTGTACCCTTAGCTGTAGGTAATTGTACCTTTTAATGTACAGAAATGGACTCTGAATGAACATTTCTGTACCATTGATGCTACATTAATGCTGTTTGTACCTTTGAGATGTTCCTCCGAGTCCATTTCTGTACCTTAAAAGGTACAAATACAAGGGTACAGTCCCAGTGACAATCAAAGGTACAAACTTTTACCCTTTTTTTCTGAGAATGTAGTGATGTTTTCAAGTACTTAGAAAGGTTCTTAGAAGATGGACTGAGGCATTTAGCTTTACAGGGAACAGTAATCCATGTAATAGCTTTAAGGTACTGAACTCTGTACCCTCCTTCTAAAAGCAGGCATATTACGAAGATCTTCACTTTACTTTTTTATTTCCATGAAATTTGTGAGCACTGTGGAGATCTTCACCAATGTCGTCTTCGCCTTTGCGTCCAGCTCCAGGTTATCAGGCCACAGGTGGAGATTTTATGCGGAGCTGCTTAACAAGCGAGGAAAAGTGAGCAGTTCATGTCCACCAGCTGTGTCTCTTCTTTGTGACGCTCTCACACACTTCTTGTGCTTCTGCTCGATTCTGGAGAGACTGTACAGGTGTTATTTGTGCAGAAAGCAACCAAAGGCTTGGTCTCACCAGGAGTGTGACGTGCTCTCCTCTTACACTGTTCTAAATGAGAATGTCCCTACTAGCCGTGAAAGTGGCCCACAAGACCAGACCACTCAGGGCAGGTTGCAGGATAGATAAGATGGAGATCTGCTTCACCTGTCATCCATTTTTCATACTGAACCCCTTTTTACAGCTTGTGATGATATAATTCAGCTTGGATTTCATGCTGAAAGCTGTGTCCTCTTGATGTATTGTGCATCCTAAGAGCAACTTTTCATACACTTGCTATTGAATTGTCAGAGATGTAGGGCCCACTCCAGAAACATCTGACTGCTTTCGTCTTTCCTGCATTGACAGGATATTTTTAGGCTTGTACTTAAATCCCAGTGGGCAAACCTGTAATTTAGAGTGGCAGGTGTACCACTGATTTGGGTCAGAGCTGTTTCTTAGAGGTTTTCAAGGGTTGGATATTTTTTGAGGGATTTATGCATAAATGCAAACGTGACGCTTGGAATCGTGCACCAAGTACTGTGTTCTCAGTGCTGTCATGCTGCATTAATGTGAAGATGTAAGAGTGTCTAAGAATTTGTGAATATTCCTTTTTTCTACCCGTTTTTGAATCCAGCACCTGTGCAAAAATAGGTTGTGTGTGCATTTAAGAATGTCAAATTTTTTCTAAACTGTTAGAAATTTTCCTGTAAAATGTGCGTGTGATGTTGTGAGCTGAGGACCTAATTTATGAACTTTTTGCAGTTCTGCCTGGTGATATATTAAAATTCAATTATTTCCCGGACAGACAGAAACTATCTAGTTGTGCACGAAGTAATATCATTTGTGTAACTGAGGGTGGATGGTCTTTAGTTTGAGTGGTGTTAAATATGACATTTGCCAGAAAAATGAGTAGTCAGAAAGTTTTTATGATGTACATTAGGTATTGTTTTTGCTTTAATTAGGCTTACAACTAAATTAAGATCACATCAGCATTTGACACTTTAAATATATTTCGGTATATTTGAATACCTCCCTGCTGGTGTTCTCTGAATCCCTCCCTCTCTATCTTTCTCCTCTAAGGTGTCAGTGTTTAATGATGGCTCCCTCCATTTGGACCTCCAGGAGAAAAAGCCGACCTTTGAGATCCACAGCAGCCACCAGCACGACTCTGCACAAACCCTCAGTGCAGAGCAACCGGATGAAGACAATGGGCCTTGCTGGGACGTGGAGTTCCTGATGTCTGGCTGGGGTGACTCATCTCCTGAGTTTAACCCCCCTGTGGATTACAGCTTCCAGCGGCTCGCGCCCCCAGAACAGGGTGGACCGTATCAAGCGGGCGAACTAGAGGTAGCAGGTCTGAGGGAACAGATTGCAGCAGATAGACACCATGTAAACAGTGGTGGCTTTATGGCTGATCTGCTCTCACCCGCAGAACAGCTCAGTTCTGTTTTGCCAGAGCCCTATGGCAGAAGATATGGGGCCCAAGCACACGGAAAGCCACAGTATTCATTGCAATCCCCTTTGGATGAAACTCCCTTCTCTATGGGGACTAAACCAGATAGATACAGTGAAACTGGAACCATCAACCTGTCTAAGGGGAGATTAAGGGACTTTGGATTCTGTAACCCCCGTCCTGCCCCCGCCTTGTCCTTCTCTGACTCACAGCTCCTTCAGATGACGACTATCGATGCTGAAACGCCACGGACGCCCCCTCGTCACTACAGCCATGTCCCAGGCTATCCCCAGCTGAGAGGGTACTCCAGTCAAAGTATTCACAGCCACTATCACACGGCCGGCCTTTTCCCTCCTGCACAAACACTCCTCCAGAGCTGCTCGGGGCCCCCTACAGGCCCGGAGGAGCAGCGCATCCGAAAGGCAGTCAAGAAGAGAGCAGCTGTACATAGCTGCAATTACCCAGGCTGCGAGAAGACTTACACTAAGAGTTCACACCTGAAAGCGCACCTTCGCACTCACACAGGTAACGTGTGCAGGAAGGAAGAGTACAGCTGGGGTGTGGGATCATGGGTAATCGCCACATGATCCGTCACGCACGGGATACACAATGAGCTTAGCTACGCTGCCAGTCTGGCTAAAAGAACCCATGTGCAGTTTTGACTCTCTGATTAAACATTAAATGAAACATAACATGGTGAATTCACATGTAACATGCATGCATTTCACTTTCAGCGCCCTACATTCAGTTTCACTAGCAATCGTTTCATGTTAAGAAAATTAGCTATCTAATTCATTATGTTGTTTATTTATATTGTCACGATTTACGAAATTCAGCGTAATTAAGTCATCCAGGAAAGCAAATGCAGAACCACTTCCTGGATCCCCCATGTAAAGAATCGTAGGAATGCCCCGCAAGTTGCCAGCGACCAGTACTGTACATCTCGATGTCCTGCTAATGGGCTCTACTTGTGTCTGTCTCCTGGCTTTTCTCCGGCAGGGGAGAAGCCGTACCACTGCACCTGGGAGGGCTGCGGCTGGAAGTTTGCCCGCTCGGACGAGCTGACGCGGCACTACCGCAAGCACACGGGCCAGAAGCCGTACGAGTGCATACTGTGCCAGCGTGCCTTCTCCCGCTCAGACCACCTGGCACTGCACATGAAGAGGCATGTCTGAGGGCACGCGGGCACCGAGTGGGCAGCACGCATGCAGAAGGAGCAACACTACAGACACACACACATGTACACACACACACATATTCACAAACACACACGCACTCAGGAACCTAACCTCACGCAAACATACACAGGCATCTGCACAGCTATTTTCGTGGGGACTTGACTGACTGCCATATTACTGTAATTAACAGTCTCTAATATTCAGCAAGCAAAACTCAAAAACAAAAAAAAATATCAAAAGTTTTTGTTTGCACTTAACATATGAGGTTCTTTCAGTATTTCTTGTCAAAACATGACATGATTGACAGATGTCCCCACAAAGTAGCTAAACATCTGAAGACACACACACACACACACACACACAAACAAAGGCACCACAAAGACACACACAGGATGGACTCCATTCCTCAAAATTTTTTTTAAACTTTTAGCAGACTTTATTATACAAAGCGATGTACATTGCTAATTATTTGAACCAGCGCAGTATCCTAACCCACCGACTCACAGAAAGACCCCAGAAGTCAGATGCTATACTATCAAAGCGACCCAAGCTCATGGTTTACAGCAGCAATGAGGGGCTTCAAACCCACATATACAGAGAATGGATTAGCAGTCTATCACCATAACCACTTCTTCGTCTTGTTCATACAACTGCAATCACACCTAGACAGTGTAAATACAGTTACATATGGACTCATAAATCCTGCCTGGACAGGTATGTCTAACTATACCGGTCGGCTCCATCTCACAGGCTGTACCAGACACAGCTCGATGGGAAAGAGACACGATTACCTTTTCTGTTCTTCGACTCTTACATTCCTACTTTTGTGGATGGTTTGTCATGAAGAGGCATTTGAGAGACATCCCTGCCTGGTTACAAAACTGTTCAAAGCGTGATTATGTAAATTACCCCGAATGCTTACAGATGTGTTTCAATGTAACATATCACGCCTTCCGTAACAAGCTGACCTTATATAATTCAGTCAATTGAATTCTGTCACCCGACAGAAGGGATCAGGCCATTCTGCTTAAGACCCCTGTTAATGTCAACTGCAGTAGGCTTTGGTTCCTCAGTCACAGCCAGGAACACTGGCAGCTCCAAAAAGGTCGCGGGAGATACACAACGGCTCCAGGGCTGGAGCTCCTTCTGCATCTGCACAGTCATTGTCCTGGCACTTCCTCTCTGGATTCCAGCACAACAGCCGCATAAACTGTTCATCAAAGTCTTTAATGCCTTAGAATTCTGACTAAAGCTAAAAATATTCAAAAGCTATTTTTATCAAATCTAATTGCATTTATCGTTGCTTATTCTGTCTAAACTGATCTGTATAATGGCAGCTCAAATTGCTGCAATTTATTCAAATTAAACACATGAGAGTGCGCTTTGTGCAAAATACTATTTTTATCATATTGTTAGTTTATTTTGTCCAAATACTTAATAACGATGCTATTGTATTTCGTTGTGTGCCTTTGATGAAGCTGTTCTTTTAAGAATAAAGAGCCTTTGTCTCTTTGATGTACACAGTGTAAACTTAGCGGCAAATGTCTCCTCTCAGGCTCTTTTGTCAAACGGACAGAAAAAAATGTAATGTCACACGCCACCAGCAGGTGGCGCTTTGCACCAGCCAATGGCATTTGTCACACCCGGCAGTGTTTCTTTCCCTGAGTCACAATCCGCACCACAACAGTCAATGATTCATACTTGCTACCAGCTAATTAAACCTATTTTTTCTTACATAACTTATGGCATTAATGATTCACAGGTATTACGCAATATGATTACTCAATCTTACTGGATTTGCACGCATACTATTCTAATGTGCATCAAGTTATGATAGTTTTTTTTTTTAATAATGGGTTCTTAAGCAGATGTGCAGAGACAGTCCATTTATTGAAAACAAGACACAACTGTAACAGTTTAAACCACATTTTACAATAATGGGGGGGTGGGGGGGGTTCACACAATACAGGACTGCAGATAGGATTTCTCCCCCGCAGCTGTGGATTGGGTTGGTGCCATGAGGCCTCCTCCCCCCCAAATGAGCCACTGTGCCCCCCCCCAAATGCCACCCACTAGAGACACCATCGTTTATTATGTTTTTTCACTAAAGGTGTTCATCTTAAAACAAATTAACCTGTCTCTCCCATGAACGTGGCTACCAGCCCCTGTTACCGTAACCCCCCCTTTTGTTCTGTTTCGCACTTGCACTGTACCAGGCTCTATGTGAATGGATGTGGATATTAATACC